GAGGAGGAGGAGGAGGGATGAGGCAGGAGGGATGAGGCAGGAGGAGGAGGATGAAAGAGGCGGGAAAAGGGAGGCGGAGGGGAAGGAAGAGGGACGAGGGGCGAGGGAGGAGGTGGGAGGGGCAGGGTAGGTGCGCTCGCGTCATATCAGACGTCCTACCCCTCCCTCCCATCCCTTACCACTGCCTAGAGTCTAGATCCCCTCTCTATTCGCAGTCGGATAACGAGCAAGGCAATGATCTCGGGAGGGCGCGTGCGCGATGTGTGGAACAACATGGCATAGCATGGCGCAGAAAAGCACGGCAGAGCGTAGCGTGCCATAGCATGGTGTGACATTGCGTAGTCAAGCACTGCATGTCAGAGCGTTGCAGCGCAAGGCATGGCATCGCATAGCGGTGCACAACACAGCATCGCAATGCATGGGAGACCGATTTGGAAGGACCGAAGCCCGGGAATGAGGCCAGGATCGACGGAAAGGAGGCCAGCGCTGCAGCGGGAGCACGATTGGGAAGGACCGAAGCGCGGGAACGAGGCCAGGACCGCAAAGGGGAATGAGGCCAGCGCTGCAGCGGGAGCACGATTTGGAAGGACCGGAGGCGATGATGTCTTTCACGGCCAGCTCGGACCCAGGAGGATCATCGATCCTCGAAGTTCGAATATCGAGGTTTTTGGAGGTTGTGTTGGCCCCTTGGGGGCCTCCAGAGGCCTCTGGGGGCTTCCGGGGGCTTGGGTGGGCTTCCGGAGGCCTCGGACCTGAGGACATTGTATTGAACGCCTACGGCACGGTGGGCGGATATTGTGACATCTGATTTGGCGCCACGTGTGTGGCGCTGTGTGCACAGTTGCACCTTCCCGAAGTGTAATATATCAGCATGGGGTCGAGGGCCCTGGTCGCGCATATGCCACGGCGCGGCATTCTTTCAAGACGTCGGATGGCTGGAAAGTGCTAATGGTTGTGGCAGTTTGCGTCCTTTGATTTCGTGGATCATCCCGCGCACCTGCGTCCCACAAATGGGCAAATCGTGCACTCCACAGTGGTGATGGTTTTGGTGGTGATTCTCGTTCCCGCTTTCCTTCCTCTACACATCACGACGTCCATTACCGATGCCTTCTTCCTTCTCCTCTCCGTTCTCCTCGTTCTCCTCGTCCTCTTCTGCAGACTGTTTGGCTCCAGCAGGGCCTTCGCAATCTGAAACACACCCGCACATTCTGCGTACATCCTACAACTTTTGGTCGGATCACCTGTCCCGCAGATGGCCCGTCTTTTATTGATTGCCAGTCTTGTCGGGGCGCGCGGGGCCGCTGGCCTGGGTGCGGCCCCCGCCGATTCCAGCATGATACAGTTTGGAACAGCGGTGGACAAGAGCAACACCTCGCAGCAGACAACGGCAGCGTTCGCGCCCGCGTGCAAAATCATATCTGGAGAGAGATCTTGGCACTGGGAGCGCGAAACCCGCGTAATTTACAAGGGAACGTGGCCCTGGGAGCGTGAATCCGTTGTAATTTACGAGGGATCTTGGCCTTGGGAGCGCGAATCCAGTGTAATTTACAAGGGGTGCGCGAAACCTGTATCATTCACGAGGGATCGTGGCTCTGGGAGCGTGAATCCCGCGTAATTTGCGAGGGATCGCGGCCCTGGGAGCGTGAATCCCGCATAATTTGTGAGGGATCGCGGCACTGCGAGCGCGAACCCAGCGTAATTTACGAGGGGCTGTGGCCTTGAGAACGCGAATCCAGCGATAATTACAAGGGATCGCGGCCTTGGGCGCGCGGACGCAGAGTAATTTACAAGGATTCGCGGCTTCGGGTCCAGCGCCTGATTTTCAGGAAATGGCGGGGGGGGCCGAAAAGCGCCCCTCGAGTACATATCCCGATACAGGAAAGTATCGGTTTCTGCTCTGGAGAGGGGGAGGGGGAACTTATGCGCAACCTCCGCGCGGCGTTTACGAGGGATCGTCGCCCTGGGAGCGCAGCGCAGCGCAGCACAACGCAGCCGCTGGCACAGCATCGTCACCATCGATATCTTCAGCATTGCCACTGCCTATCGCCCAATTGAGGTTCTTTAAAACGTTTCCATGCTTCACATCTCTACATACCTTTCCAGGTTCGTGGGTCGATCATGTCTTGTTCCCGGAATGGGCAGAGGCCCAGGGTTCGCTTTTCCCGGAAATGGCAGAGGCCCAGGGCCAGCGAGCTCAAGCCATGTGCGCGTTACACGTCCCTTGGCACGTCGCCTGGCGCGTCCCTTGGGACGTTTCGCGGCGCGTCCTCCTGGCATGTCCCCTGGTCAATTAGCTCTGGGGCAGCTACTATGTGTTCAGGCAGCTCGAGCTTCAGATCCAGATCAGTTCGGTCAGGACTCGGATGCAAAGGAAGAGTCGATCCACGACGCTATAGAGCACAACCGCGGCATGGCACATCGCAATTCAGCACGGTGCAGCACAGCACAGCCTTCGGCACGGTACATCAAGATCGATACAATTAGCATTGCACTTGCCCGTCACCCAATCAGGTGTTTTTTCCCGGAAAGGGCATGAGCCCAGGGTTCTCTTTTAGTAGGTAAACCTGTCCCCCGGTGCCAACTTGAAGGAGGCCGGCGAATTTTTTCCCTGATAAATAACGAGGTCGAAGGAGGCCGGCGAATTAAAATTTGAGGATGTCTCGAGCGAAACGCTTGTTTTTGAAATCCGGATCGATAAATCACAGGGTGCGGGACACCTCAGCAGTGTTGGATGGTCTCGAGCGAAACGCTTGCTCCGCAGAGTTTGCCGAGGATGTCTCAGCGAAACGCTTGTTTTGCAGAGCCGACCGCGACGCGAAAAGCGCCCCGCGCGAAGGAATTTCGATAATGTCTCGACTAATTCGTTTGTTTTTGTACGATTTCCTGGAATTTGGCAGGATGTCTCGAGCGAAATGCACGACCCCACCCTAGCACGACCATACCCCAGCACGACCACACCCCAGCACGACCAGACCCCAGCACGACCCCACCCCAGCACGACCCCACCCCAGCACGACCATACCCCAGCACGACCACATCCCCCATCAACGCCAACCCCAAGCACGACCCGCCCCAGCAACGACCCGACCCCAGCAAGACCGACACCCCAGCACGACCACGACCCCAGCACTACCTACCAAGCACGACCACACCCCAGCACTACCACAGGCCCCAGCACGACCACGCCCCAGCACCAACCCCTCCCCAGCAACGACCAACCCCCCAACACACGACCACCCCCCCCAGCACGACCACCCCCAAGCACGACCACCCCCCGCAGCGACCACACCCCAGCACGACTCACTCCCCAGCACGACCATACCCCAGCACGACCACCCCCCCCAGCACGCACCATGACCATGACCCACCCCGTCGTCAGGACCCGCCGCCAGCCCACACGAACCACCACCCCAGCACAGACAACGCCCCCAGCACGACCACACCCCAGCACGACCATACCCAGCACGACCACACCCCAGCACGACCACACCCCAACACGACCACACCCCACCACGATCACACCCCACCACGACCACACCCCAGCACGACCCGATCGATGAATCACAGGGTGCGGACCACCCCAGCACGACCACACCCCAGCACGACCCCACCCCAGCACGACCACGCCCCAGCACGACCACGCCCCAGCACGACCACGCCCCAGCACGACCACCCCCCAGCACGACCACACCCCCAGCACGACCACCCCCCAGCACGACCACCCCCCAGCACGACCACACCCCAGCACGACCACACCCCAGCACGACCACACCCCAGCACGACCACACCCCAGCACGACCACACCTCAGCACGACCACACCAAAAAAAAAAAAAAAAAAAAAACAACACGACCCCCCCCAGCAACACCCACCCCAGCAACGACCTCCACCCTAGGCAAGACACACCCCAGCACGACCCACCCCCCAGCACGACCACACCCCACAGCACACCACACCCCAGCAACGACTCACCGCCCGCAGCAACGAACCACGCCCCAGCACGACCACGGGGTCCCATCACGACCACGCCCGCAGCACAACCACCCCCCAGCACGACCACCCCCCCGAGCACGACACGCTCCCAAGCACGACCACCCCCAGCACGACCACTCGCCAGCACGACCCACTCACTCCCCAGCACGACCACAAGACCGGGCCTGGTTTGAGTGGTTGCCTGTTCGTCGTGGATGTTTCGGGGTGTCTCGTGGAATGTTTTTCGGGGTGTCTCTCGTGGAATGTTTCGTGAGGTGTCTCGCGGAATGTTTCGTGAGGTGTCTCGTGGATGTTTCGTGAGGTGTCTCGTGGGATGTTTCGTGAGGTGTTGCCCCGTTGGGTATCGTGAAAACGTGCCCATGCTCCACATGTCTATATCCCTTTCCGGGTTCGTGGGTCCATCATGTTGAAAACGCTGCCATGTGTTACAGTTCTATATTCCTTTCCGGGTTCGTGGGTCGATCATGTTTGAGGACGTCTCAAGCGAAACGCTTGTTTTTGAAATCCCGATCGATCAATCACAGGGTGCGGGAAATTTTGGCAGGATGTCTCGAGCGAAATGCACGACCCCACCCTAGCACGACCATACCCCAGCACGACCACACCCCAGCACGACCAGACCCCAGCACGACCCCACCCCAGCACGACCCCACCCCAGCACGACCATACCCCAGCACGACCACACCCCAGCACGACCCGACCCCAGCACGACCCTACCCCATCAAGACCACACCCCAGCACGACCACACCCCAGCACGACCTCACCACAGCACGACCACACCCCATGCCTACGCACGCCCCAGCACGACCACAGCCCCAGCACGCCCAACGGCCCCAGCACGACCACCCCCCATCACGACCACCAACCCCCACACGACCACCGCTCCAAGCACGACCACCCCCCAGCACGACCACGACCCCAGCACGACGCACTCCCCAGCACGACCACACCCCATCACGACCACACCCCGCACGACCACACCCAGCACGACCACACCCCAGCAAGACCCACCCCATGGGAGCACGAACACCACCCCAGCACGACCCACCTCCTAGCAAGACCACACCCCAGCACGACCACACCCCATCACGACCCAAAAAAAATCCCCACAGCGCTACCACCCCGTGCACGACCCGCCCCAGCACGACCACTCCCCCAGCCGACTCACGCCCCGCGCACAGTCCACCCCCCAGCACGACCACCCCCCCAGCACGACCACCCCCCAGCACGACCACCCCCCAGCGCGACCACACCCCAGCACGACCACTCCCCAGCACGACCACACCGCCTTGGTTGAGTGGTTGCCTGTCGTCGTGGAATGTTTCGTGGGGTGTCTCGTGGACTGTTTCGCGGGGTGTCTCCTGGAATGTTTCGTGAGGTGTCTCGCGGAATGTTTCGTGAGGTGTCTCGTGGGATGTTTCGTGAGGTGTCTCGTGGGATGTTTCGTGAGGTGTTGCCCCGTTGGTATCGTGAAAACGTGCCCATGCTCCACATGTCTATATCCCTTTCCGGGTTCGTGGGTCCATCATGTTTTTGAAATCCCGATCGATCAATCACAGGGTGCGGGACACATATTGGTCGAAAAAGTGCATCCCGTGCGAGCTGGAACCAAGTGTGGCCACCCAGGTAGGTATCTAACATGGTGGTCCCGAGCTGGAACCGCGTGTTTTTCCCGGCGCGCAGGAATTCCGAGGATGTCTCGCGCGTGCCGCGTCCCGCGCGCAGGAATTTTGAGGATGTCTCGGCTAATTCGTTTGTTTTGTCAGGATTTTTTGGAATTTCGGCAGGATGTCTCGAGCGAAACGCTTGTTTTACATAGTTTGTGGAGGATGTCTCGAGCGAAACGTTGGTTTTGCAAAACTTGGGGATGTCTCGAGCGGGGGCTTCGTGGGGGGCCAGAGTTCAGAGGATGTCTCAGGCGAAGTGCTTGTTTTCGTGTCCCGCTCGCAGGAATTCCAAGGATGTCTCGCGCGCGCCGCGTCCCGCGCGCTGGACTTTTGAGGATGTCTCGGCTAATTCGTTTGTTTTGTCAGGATTTCTTAGAATTTTGGCAGGATGTCTCGAGCGAAACGCTTGTTTTACATAGTTTGTTGAGGATGTCTCGAGCGAAACGCTGGTTATGCAACATTTGGGGATGTCTCGAGCGGGGGCTTCGTGGGGAGCCAGGATTCAGAGGATGTCTCAGGCGAAATGTTTGTTTTCGTGTCACGCTCGCAGGAATTCCAAGGATGTCTCGCGCGTGCCGCGTCCCGCGCGCAGGAATTTTGAGGATGTCCCGTAGCGCGTCCCCTTGGCACGTCCTACGGTGCGACCCCATGGCACGTCCCTTGGCACGTCGCCTGGCGCGTCCCTTGGGACGTTTCGCGGCGCGTCCTCCTGGCATGTCCCCCTGTCAATTAGCTCTGGGGCAGCTACTATGTGTTCAGGCAGCTCGAGCTTAAGATCCAGATCAGTTCGGTCAGGACTCGGATGCAAAGGAGGACTCGATCCACGACGCTATAGAGCACAATCGCGGCATGGCACATCGCAATTCAGCACGGTGCAGCACAGCACAGCCCTCGTCACGGTACATCAAGATCGATACAATCAGCATTGCACTTGCCCGCCACCCAATCAGGTGTCTTTGAAAACGTTGCCATGCGTTACAGTTCTATATTCCTTCCCGGGTTCGTGGGTCGATCATGTACTAGGTTTACCCCGCGGTTTCGACGGGAAGAGGGCCGGCGAAATTATTCTGTGTAAATAACGAGGTAAAGTGCTGATTTTCAGTCGAAGAAGTGCGTTTCGTGCGTGCCCGTTCGAGGAAAGTGCGCCCCCCATCTCGGATCCTTGATGAAAAACGGGGTCCGCAGACCCCCGTTTCCATCGTGAAAAAGAGGGTGCGGAGCGTTTTTAGCAGAATCCTCAACAAATAACGGGGTCTGGAGCCCCGACCGCGACGCGGAAAAGCGCCCCGCGCGCAGGAATTCCGAGGATGTCTCGCGCGTGCCGCGTCCCGCGCGCAGGAATTTCGAGGATGTCTCGACTACAACCCCCTGGAATAAAAAGTCCGGACCGCAGAGGTCGGGGAAGAAGCCTGGCCTTGTTGTTCGGCTCTCGTTAGGCCACGGGGCCCCGGTACACTGTTGCAGGGGCCGCCATGGTTAAATTCCCAGTCCATCCTCACCCCCGCTAATATTATGATCGCCAGGCACGTCCGCTGGCGCGTCGCCTGGGCACCTTCCCCGGCAGGTTCCACGGCGCGTCCCCCTGGCACGTCGCGCGGTGCGTCCCCTGGCACGTCCCCCGGCACGTTCCCCGGCGCGTTCCGTGGCGCGTCCCCCTGGCACGTCCCGCGGTGCGTCCCCCTGGCACGTCCCCTGGGCGCGTCCCCTGCCGGCGCGTCGCCTGGGGCGTGCTGCGGCGCGTCCTCCTGGCATGTTCCCCCTGTCAGATGTCCCCGCGGCGTGCGCCGCAGAGTGCCCTGTGGCGCTGGGGGCGCGGAAGAAGCGTACTTTTACCATGGATCGTGGCCCTGGCAGCGCGGGCGCAGCGCAACTCGTGAGGGATCGCGGCCCTGGGGGCGCGGACGCAGCGTGATTTGGGAGGGATCGTGGACTGGGGGCGCGGAGACATTTGTAGTCTACCATGGATTCTGGCCCCTCGAGCGCGGAGCAAACAGCATTCACGAGGGATCGCGGCCCTTGAGGCGCGGACGCACGGCGATCCACGGAGGGTCGTGGCCTGGGGAGCGCGGGCGCGGCGTACTTCACGAGGGATCATGGCCCTTGGATCGCGGGCGCAGCGTGATTTACATAGAGTCGTGGCCCTTGGAGCGCGGACGTTGTGCGATTTGTGAGGGATCCTGGCTCTGGGGGCGCGGACGTGGCGTAGTGCACGAGGGATCCGGGCCCTGGACGCGCGTGCCGACGGTTGTCCCTTCGTCAGTGCCACCCCTCCAAACCTCCTCTGCCTTTGGCCGATCCTCCTCTGCCTTTGGCCTCACACAACAAGAACTACGATTTCAACGAGACGACGTGGCTACATCATGAGAAAACAGATGAGTGGGGACTGTCGGGAAATCACCTCCTGAAGAACACATTGTCCTGAGTAGACCCCCGACGCGCGCAGCTTCTCATGCGAGGCCATGGCCTCACCCGCCTAGCCCTTAAGGGGCCCGGGCGCATGCCCGCACAGGCGATCCGTTTCCGTTTCCGTTTCCGTATGGGTATCTTCAGCATTGCCATTGCCCATCGCTCACTTGATGTGTCGTGACAGGTGTCCATGCGTCGCGGTTCTAATCCCTTTCTGGGTTCGGGGGTCGAGCATTGTCAGTTTCTGTGGCCCCACTGGGGGTTGATAGTATTTCTGCGACCCTCAGATTACCACAAATGCTCCACTATTTGCATGCGATTTCGATGATGCTTCGAATCTTGGCAAAAATACTGCTGGTACGACTTCCACAGGTTTGGACACGTTCTACGGGTCTCATACGCAGTCGACTGGCAAAAACAGCGTTGGAGCTATTTCCTTCGAGAGCTTTTCAGGTGCAGCAGAATTCTCAATTGGAACGGCGGGCGATACCTTCAGTATGTTGTTGTGGATGGACATGCGGGCGCACAATCCGTTTAGAGCCGGTCGGTCTTACCTCATTGATCTCAGACCTCATGGGCAAGGGGCATTATATTTTGACAGCGATAACACCGTTAAATTTTCCGGCATGTACGGGAATTGCCAGGGCTCTCGTGCTCTGGGGGAGAGATCGTTGGCCTATCCGCATGCGTTTAATACTTGGGTGCATTTTGCGATCGTCTCAGACCCTACAGGGACGCGTCTGTTCAAGGACGGTGAATTGTTGTATGAGGCTCTCGCGTCGAGTTGTGGCACATCGTACAGCACCGCTTTGGTCGACAAAGCAGTTCTCGGCACCTACTACAGTTCAGTTGGCAGTTCAGGGTCGTACTTCATGGATGCTTCCATCGACGACCTCCAGTTTTACAGGTCGGCGTTATCAGCGCAAGATGTAAACGACGTCTACGCTGCGACGCCGGCACCACAACGAAACTATTCGGATCTTTGAAAATGGCGTTCTCACCCTAGGCATTCTCGAAACAGCTGTTGTACGACATCATGCGATGTTCAGGTAGCTGTTGTACAACATCTTTAGGGGGCGCTCTTGGAAGGCTCCCAAGATTGCCCAAGATGCGAAACCATTGAAACACCAATGGCTTTGACGTACTTGTGTTCTTAAGTAAGCGTCCACCTTGAGGCATCCTCAAACAATGCCTTCGGGTTGGGCTTCGAAAGTAGTCCCTCTTAGAGGCGGGGTTGCAGAAAAACTGCAACTCCTCTTAGAATTGTTGCAGGATTTCAGGGGAAAATGAAATTTCAAATTTCAAATTTTTATACGGGCTTTTGGATTATGTGTGTGTGTGTATGTGTTGTCAATAGAGCCGCGCGCGCGCGGCCGGGCCCCCCCCGTGGCCCGCCGACACAGGGGCGGTGTGTGTGTGTATGTGTGTGTGCATGTGTTGTCAATAGAGCCGCGCGCGCGCGCGGCAGGGCACCCCTCCCCGTGGCCCGCCGACACAGGGGCGGTGTGTGGTGTGTGGTGTGTGTGTGTCCTGTGGTTCTAGAGCGCGCGCGCGCGGCGGGCCCCCCCCCGTGGCCCGATGACACAAGGTGCGGTGTCTGTGTGTGTGTGGTGTGTGGTGTGTGTGTGTGTGTGTGTGTCTGTGTGTGTGTGTTGTCAATGGAGCCGCGCGCGAGCGGCCGGGCCCTCTCCCGTGGCCCGCTGACACAGGGGCGGATTGTGTGTATGTGTTGTGAATAGAGCCGCGCGCGCGCGGCCGGCCCCCCCCGTGGCACACTGACACAAGGGCGGTTTGTGTGTGCGTGTGAGTGTGTGTGTGTGTGTGTGTGTGCGTATGTGTTGTCAATAGAGCCGCGGGCGCGCGGCCGGGCCCCTCCCCGTGGCCCGCTGACACCCGGGCGGTGTGTGTGTGTGTTGTCAGTGGAGCCGCGCGCGCGCACGGCCGGGGCCCCCCGTGGCCTGCTGACACAGGGGCGCGGTTTGTGTATGTGTCGTCAATAGAGCCGCGCGCGCGCGGCCGGCCACCCCCTTCAATAGGCCCGCCTGACCCTGGTGTGCGGTGTGCGTGTAGTGTGTGTGAGTGTGTGTGTGTGTGTATGTGTTGTCAATAGAGCCGCGCGCCGCGCGACCGGGCCCCCCCCGTGGCCCGCGACAGGGACGGTGTGTGTATGTTTGTCAATAGAGCCGCGAGCGCGCGCACGGCCAGCCCCCCCCCCGTGGCCCGTTGACACAGGCTGTGTGTGGGTGCGTATGTGTTGTCAATCGAGCGCGCGCGCGCGCAGGGCCCCCCCCGTGGCCCGTGACACAGAGGGGCGGTGTGTGTTGTGTGTGCGTGTGTATGTTTGTCAATAGAGCCGCGCGCGCAGCGTCAGGGCCCCCCCCGTGGCCCGCTGACAACAGGCGCGCCGGTGTGTGTTTGTGTGTGAATGTCTTGCCAAATAGAGCCAGCGCGCGCGCGCGGCAGCCCCCACCCGTGCCCCTGACGCCAGGGGCCGGTGTGTGTGTGTGTGTGTGTGGTGTGCGTGCGTGCGTTTGCGTGCGTGTGTGGTGTGGTAGTGTGTGGTGTGTGTGTATGTGTTGTCAATAGAGCCGCGCGCGCGCGGCCGGCCCCCCTGCGTGGCCCGCTGACACAGGGGCGGTGTGTGTGTGTGTGTGTGTGTGTGTGCGTGTGTGTGTACGTTTGACGAGACGAGCTAAGAGGAATTCGGGCGCGGGATGGAGCTAGTACCTCGTGGAGCTTTTCGGCGCACCTCGTTGAGCTCTTCGGCATCGACTCGTAGAGCTTTTCGGCATCGATGAGCTAGAGGAATTCCGGCGCGGGGTGGAGCTAGTTCGCCCACCCGCCCCGGACGGACAATGTGGCAATCTGGGGTCGGTTTTTCGAAGATTGTGAGAGATTTGGAAATTCGTTTTGAATATCCAGGTCTCTATTCTCTGCAGTCGATGAGCTCGATGGTGCAATTCTAAGGGCTGTAGCTGCAATATTTCGATCAAAACACTAGAAGGAACCGACGTTTTATAAAACTCCGATCGTCCATTGTTCGAGTTGTTAACTTTACATCTCTCTCTTCGTTATCTGAGCGATGATTTGCGTTTCGGGAGCTCTGCGAGGTCTGGGCGGTAACCTGGTTGACGGTTTACCGCCGGCTCCCAGTCGATGAGCTGAAGGAATTCCGGTGTGGGATGGAGCTAGTACCTCGTGAAGTTTTTCGGCATCGATGAGCTAGAGGAATTCAGGCTGGGGTGAAGCTAGTTCTCCAACCCCGCGAGCACGGACAATGTGTCTACCTGGGGTTGGTTTTTGGAAGATTGTGAGAAATTCTAAAATTCGTTGTTTGGTTACAAGCTCATTTGGGCCCAAAAAAAAGAAGGAAAAACTGCATGGAGCGCGGCAGCGTCAACGGCAACGTCGGCAACGTCGGCGGCAACCGCTAAGCGAAGACGATGAGTGAGACAGCGGTATATGTTTTATGCATCGGCTCGGGGTGGTGCGGCATGGCGTTCGCGCGGGGGGCCCTTCTTCCCCGACATAGCTCAAGCTCCGCTGGAAAAGTACTCAGTGCTTTGAACGTATAAATCGCTATTATATGGCAAGCGCAACGCTCTAGACATATCACCGCGCCTGGAAACGCAGCTGCCAGCGCCGCGAAACCCACCTTCTGCCCACTGGCCTTGATGTGGGTGCGGAACCTGTGCTCGGCAAGGAGCCTCGACCACTTCTTCCTGTCGGCCTTCTTGGGCAACGTCCCGCCGTGGCGCTTCCTGATCCGCCGCTTGACCAATGACCATTGGAGCTATACGTGGTTGGTAGTGAACCCTCTTTCGTTCGTGATCTCGCCAGCGCTGTGGTTCACTACCTCGTGCGGGGGCATCCGCTCGGTGAGGCCAGCGTCATGGCGGTGCTGCTTCGCAGCCGCGATGGCCCCCCTCCACTTGTCCGAGGCGATGGCGACGCCAGCGGGAGGCGACAGCTCTTTGAAGTTCTCCAACAGCTCCTGCTTGCCCCTGGGCTTGCCGTCGTAAGCACCCCCGACAGACTTCAATACTTTGAAGAAGAACAGGTGCGGCGAACCCTGCTCGACGGCGCCCCAAAGCCATAGCTTGTCTTTCTTCGGCCTTGCGTTCTTCGCCAGCTTGGACAGCTTGCCCTTGTTCAGGAAGGACTCGTCCACCTGCAGGATGACCTTCCTGGTTCGGGCAGCAGGGGGCCTAGACCGCGCGGGGCGCTTCATGACAGGCCGCTTCTTGACGCCCGCCTGGGCTGGGCGACTCTTCGCCGAGCGCTTGGCCCGACGCTTCGGCGCAGCTTTCGCAGCAGCGGGGCGCTTGCGCGGGCCGCCGCCGAGCAGGTCTGCGAAAATGCTCCCAGAGTCTATCTTCCGGGCCATGTGCTCCTCGACGCCCTCTTCAAACGTCTGAATCCAGCGCTCCACAGTTGCGTGGGCGTCAGCGCCGACCTCGTCCTTGAGCGTGCCAAGGCTGTAGTCGAAGCACCACGTCACGAAGGCGTCGAGCTTGTTCATCCATAGGCTCGTGGGCGTACCCGCCAAAATGGTGCCCTTCACCGCCGACACCTCGTCGCCGCTGCAAGTGTCGCATCCGCAGTCGTAGCGAGGCCCGCGCCAGTGAAAGCGCGCGACATCGCCGCGGCGATGCTTCGCGCTCAGCGTGTACTCGTCGCTGCAGTCTGTGCAGAAGTGCGTCTTGCCAACCATGCCGAAGTGCTGGCAGAACAGGTATGCGCGAGCCGCCTCGTCTTCCAAGTAGCTCCCGGGATCCAGGATTTCCGCGTGCGAGACGGCGTGCTGGAAAGAGTCCATGTTCGCCGCGTCCAGGTCTTTCAGCGCGCCCAGATAGGCCGCCGCCTCTGCGCGTCGCGCCATGCCTTGGGATGCGGAGGGGCGCCGAGAGGCCAACGGAGGTCCCGATCTACCTGCGAGCCGAACGCTGCGGCGCCAATCGAACTGTCGAAACGGGGCAGGGAGGACAAGGCGAGCTTGGGGCGAGCGGGGGGGGGGGGCAACGACGACGACGCCGACGGCGAGGACGGCTCTTGAGTCATCGCAGTCGGTCAGAATAACAACTCAGGGTGCAATCATCATGGTGCTCATGCTCATATGGGAGCCCGCGAAGCGCGCTGGGGGCCCATCAGAGGCTCGGCGGCCGCCGCCCCGGCTGCCCAAGCTCACCGCTCACCCAGCAACTCAACTCGTCACCCCGCGCGCCCAGCGCTTCACTTCGTAATGCCTCCCTCCGCCGCCTGCGCGTAGGCCTCTTGCGCTCGCTGGCGGTCGAGCTCGTCCTCGTAGTCGGGCTGGGCCTCCAGCGCTGCGTCCAAGTCCATGTCGGACCCACCCCCCTTCCGCGGCGCGGCTCTGGCGAGGTGGTGTCGTGAGGTCTATCTTCGCGCCGTCGTCGCTCTGGTTCTTCTGGAGAAAATCCCGCTGCAGCGCCTCGTGGCGGAGCTGTGCTCGTCGACGTCCCCCTGGGCAAGGTCGTCGCGGCCGCAGCCCGTGCTCAAGCGCTTGCGGGGGGGGGGGGGGGGTGGGGGGGGGGGGGGGGGGGTGGGGGGGGGGGGGGGGCGACTCGAGTCCCGCATTGCTTCCCGTCGGCGCTCGCGCTGACTCTGCTGCCAGAAGTCCTGTTGAAGTGCCGCGTATGTCGCCTTCTGCTCGTCGCTGTCGGCGTCGTCGAGCAGGCCCGCGCACTCCCTGCCGGCGACGGCGACTGCAGCTGGGTGCGCGCCTGAGGAAGATGCAACGGCGCTCATCAAGTGAGCGCCCCACTCATCGTAATCCCTGGCTCTCGAGGGCGGCTCAGGCGCTGCGGGGAACACTGGCGCGACGCTGACAGTCGCACGAGCGCAGCGACGCCATCCCACCTACGGCGCAAGGAGCCGCAGCAGAGACCTGGAAACCTGGCTCGGCTTTTCCCTTGGTATACGCCAAGGCACCCCATGGAACGAAACCGAGAATAGCGCGCCGTAGGTGGGGTGGTGTCGTTTGTTTTGTCGTCGGGCCTTCGTTCAGCAGGAGACGCTTCAAGTAGTTCATCGACCACTTGGCGTCGTCTTCGAAGTACGCAGGGTAGACAGGCTTAGTGGGGCCCTGCTTGTATGCGCCGAAGGCCTCCTTGCAGCGCTCGTTGAAAAGGTCGGGCTTGTTGGGGTTGGCGTAGGTCCACTAAGGCACTCGGCCCCGTCCGTCGCTGGCGTGGCGGAAGTACACGCGCTTGTCAGTGACCAAAACAAAATGGGTGCGAGCACCGATGGCCAGCAAGTCCTCGTCTTCCTTTACCTGGCGGAACGAGGGCCTGATC